GGATCCTCACGACAACTCGAGCCACCCAGAACCCTCCCTGCATAAGAAAAAAAAAAGCCAAAATCATGACACAAAGGTCAATAATCTTCCATAGCAAAAGGGACTGAAAGAATAAAAAGGCACAAAGCTAAGCAGCTCACCCGAATCGGCAGATCCGGTTCTATTCAGCATCATGAGTGGAACTCCCATGTCCGCCAACCAATCCCAGGAAAAATGGGTAAAAATATGTGACGAGAACAGCGAGCAGATGCCGACGACGGCTGCTCTCCCGGCTGGGTCAACGAAATTTCGAATAGAGAGAGATGAGGAAGTTGGGGTTCATGAGAAATACCGACGACTGTAAACCTGGAATCCACTTTGGATCTGCAGATGCCACTGTTGCCACTTCCGATCAAGTGAGTCATCCCGATGGGCTTGGCGGGTCTGAGGTTTTGCTCGGAGCCACAGAGTAGAGAGAAGGGAATGGGAGAAGGACCGCGAGTGAATCCCCTTGACTTTTCTGCTTTCGTTCTCATCATTGCCCAGTCTACGCTCTCCCTCAGTGCCGCCCAGTCTCCATCATAGAGCATCCATCAACAGTAGTCTTCCGCTTCCCTCCTCACAATGGTGAAGTTCCCAAAAATTCTCGGGCAGAGGGAATCACATGCGATTTGAAGGAGAGAAGGACCGAGAGAGATAAAGAGAGAAGAAGTATATATGAAGGGGGATTCGAGGACCACGTGTTCATCAACAGTAGTCTTCCATCCTCAGCGTGGTGACGTTCCCAAAAATTCTCGGGAAGAGGGAATCACATGCGATTTGAAGGAGAGATAAAGAGAGAGGAAGTGAGTATGAAGGGGGATTCGAGGGCCACGTGATGTTCACAGCAACAATAGAGGGCAAAACCGTCGGGCCCACACACAGGCGAACAGCCAATAAGAAAAGGCGGTCGGGCCCAATCTCAGAGCAGTAACCAAGCAAAGGAGGGTGAACAGTAATGCTGAGTCTAAATGAACAGGAATTTCGTGTCTAGGCGAACAGTGAACCGTGTCTTTGCAAATAACTTTTTTCAATATTTATGCTTTGTTTGTTTTAGTGTTTATACTTCATGTACTCTGTCACAATTTATGTTTTATAATTATGCTTTTCATGTTGTTCTTCATTCTTAGTATTTTGTACATCGTGTACTTTATGTCATAATTAATATCTATTAAAATATTTTAACAGGATATGATTCCGAATAAGGATTGGATTAGCATACGAAACAGGAGAGAACCTGAATTCATCCAAGGCGTAAACATAATATGATATGGTAAATGTGATTTTTTATTTTATTGGATGCCATATCATGTTTTAGTAGATTATTATAGACTAAAGTTTACATGTATGATATTAGATTGATGAGGAAACTGGAAAACTACCACCTGTCTTGGAAGTTTGGATGGCACAACATAGCACTTTGAATGCAAATAATGAGCGAAAGTCGGTTGATAGTTCATCAGAGAATTATTATGTAAGTTTTTTTTGTTCCAATTAATCTCTTGATTTTTTTCCAACTATGCTTTAACTAACATGGTACTACTTTTTAATTTATTTTAGCATGAGATAAGAAGAACAGAAGAAGAAGTCATGCTTGTGGACGAGACTGTTAATGAAAATGAAGATGTCTTGAGAGTGGTGTTTGGTGCTTGCTCTGGCTATGTTCGCAGAAAAGGTACTGGGTACAAGTCAACTGCAAAGGGTATGACAAACAATCAGAATTGGAAGATAGAAAAACTGGAGGTTCAAGTTGTTGACCTAACTTCAAAATTAGCAGATCAAGGCAAACAAAATCTAGCCTTAACCCAAAGGTTCAAAAAATTGATGGAAATGATGGAAAATGAAAGGCGTGAATCATCTTCTCGCAGTGGGCAAGTAAGTAGTTAGTTTTCTATCTTATTACTTACATGAATTTTTTCAATACATTTACAAAATCACAATCAGACTAACACACTCAAAAAATTAGAGGGAGGATGCTCTCACTTCGGAAGACACACGTGAAGAAGAATATGCAAGGGATGAATGTTCTAGTAAGGTATAAAATTTAATACTAAGGTTGAAGATTAAAGATATTTAAATTACTAACATTCTCGTTCAAATTCGTTATACAGGCTTGACGTGCGAATAAGAAACGAAGTGCACCACACAAGTAGGTTTCGAACTCAAAAAGGAAAAATAGGTACTCAAGAGCCTTAAATTGTTATGGATTTTTATAGCTTTTCTTTTCTAAGATGGGCCAATGCATTTCTTTTTCCAATCAAGTCTTTTCTTCCATTTCATGCAATTGATGTCCTTAGCTCCTTGCCATATATTTAACTATTAAATTTTGTCTAATTTCACTTCTAGGGAGCTAAGAGAAGAATGATGGTTGTTAGTGGAAACATGGTGCCGTATGCAGAGTTATAAGTGTTAGTCTTCTTTTTTTTTTTTTTTTGTTAAGAGAGAGTAGAACAAATCATGGATTTAGAACTTGTTATCCAATATTCTTTTAGTTTTTTCTTGTTTCATTATAGAATGGTTATTCTTTCAAACTATGAATGTTGGTTTTCCTAGTATTGGATGGGATGACATTGTAGTAGTTTTTTTCTAATTTTTATGGAGATGATTTTATGATATTTTGCTACAAAATTAATATAGACGACAACTTGTCGCCTCCTAAGATATTGGTGAAGGGACACATGATCGTCCCCATAAATTACAACTGTGACAACCTCTCGTTCCCCAAGACACCATTTAAGTGACACATAGTCGTCCCTAGAATTTACGTAGATGACATTTTAGCATCCTCAGGCTACCACATAAGGGACAACAGGTCGTCCCAAAATGTTATATGAGTGACAATGAGTTGTCCCCAACTATAAAGGTTAAAGACAATAGATCGTCCCTATAAGTTAAATACGTGACAAATTGACGCCCCTAAAGACACTTCTTAAGGGATGATTGGTCGTCCCTACCAGTGAATAGGTGACAATTAGGCGTCTCCAATAATACAGTTTAAGGGACAATTGATCGTCCTCACAAGTGATACATGGGACAATTAGTCGTCTCCAAAGACACATGCTAAGGGACAATAGGTCGTTCATACGAGTTACATAGGGGACAATTAGTCGTTCCCAAAAGGCACATAAGTGACAACTCCTCGTCCCCTAATACAGAACTTAAGGGACAATTGTTTGTCCCTAAAAGTAATAGGTGACAACTTGTCCTCTCTAAACATATAGTATAGGAGACCACTCTTAGTCCTTGAATAAAGCTTTCGGGGACAAATTTTGGACTTCAATTTGACACCTATAGGAACGATATGTCGACCCTATAAAAGAAAAGGGGACAACAAAGTATCCCCATATTGTCCCAACGCAATTATGAAATCGATTATGTGGGACAACGGGTTGTCGCTAGAAATGATGTTTAGGGGACGACTTGTTGTCGCTAAAGTTATAGCTATGGGGACGACATATTGTCGCTACAGGATAGCTATAGGGACGACATTTTGTCTTTCATGGACAAGAAACGAAACGACGACTTGCGAGTATCGGGGACGAATGTCGTCCCTAGTAATGCGGACGACCTAGATTTTTGTCGTCCCCAACAAAATAGAGGGCAAGAGTATAGGGAACCACTCTTTGGGGACAACATAGTAGCCCCAAAAATTATAGGGACGATTTTTCTTATTTTCCTATAGGGACAACATAGTCGTCCCCAAACCTCTTCTTTTTTGTAGTGACAATGTTCTTCAGGTGGGTTACTAGATACACTGATGCTTTTCTTCTTTTCCATTGTTAATGAGCTTCTGTGGTTTAATTTGCTGCTTGAATCTACGGATTTGTGGAGTAATATGGCATTAGGATTGAGTGAATGGTATGATAATTGAAGATTTATCTCTCCATTAACTCCCTCATATTTTTGTCTAATTCATTTTTATAGGGTGAAATTAGGCTATGACTCTTCATATCATTTTAATCAATTGTACCATTTACGCTAACAGTTGTGCATTGTCTTTGTACTCCTTATTTTCCATTGTAAGTTGTATATTTCTTACCTCGCTCGAGGAAAGTTCTTCACCTGGGGGGTAAAAATTTACTTGGGGGTCTATGTATGAAGGAGAGCTTAATAGGTATCTGGTTTTTCGCTTTCTACTTCCCGTTGGTTATCCAGAAGGCAAAGCACTTGAGGTCTCATTTCCTCTAGGCTACCATAATCGTGTAACATGCAGGTGGGCTTGAAACAACGACCCATAAACCAATCTCAAAGCCGCTGCGGAGTGCGGCCACCATCACCCTAGTTTGTTACTAAATTTGTGATGGTGCTACTCAACTCAACCAAACCACTAGAAATTTTAAAGTGTTTGCGTAAGGAAGAGGTAGTAGCAAATCATAAACAGTGCTTTTAGGGCCTCCTTTTTTGTCTTTGTCTTATTGGTTGTAGTAGTGGGGGGCCTGGTGTGGCGTCTACGTATGTTGGCCACCGTAGTGGGTGCTTCTTTTTTCATCATTCAATTACAAGGTGGTATCTCAGGTGTTGGTAATTTTTAAATCAATATAAATTTTCAGTTATTTTAGCGAATAAATTTGGGAACTCAGATCTCTCGTCTTTGAGATTGAACAGGAAGAACTTTTGGCAGGCCCTTGTCTTCCATTTATCATAAATATTAGGGTTAATACCTTAGTTTGGCCCGAACTATATACAAACTTTCTATTTTGGCACGTGATTTCTGAAATTGCTATCCTGACCTGAACTATGAACCATACTTCCTAATTTGACCCGGAATCGGGTTTGACCGTGAAATTGGACGGTCAACTCTATTGACCATTAATCAATGGCCAACTCACTTGCCACGTCGGCAAACAAGGTATAAAAAATTGTATTTTTTGAATTTTCGTATTCATTTTATTTTCTAATAATAATAATAAAATCAAATAGGATAATGATTTTCTTTTCACAAACTTGCCTGCTCCCGTTGCTAAGACCCTCGCATGCCTCTCTCACTCTCCCCTGCCCATTCCAAAGACGAGTGAAGAGGGATGGAGCACATCCCCATTCTCGGAACTCAGATATGCTTGAGCACCAAGCTCCAGATCTGGGAACGAATGGACAATGGCGACTAGACATCCTAACTCATCGATCAAGACCTCGAACGAGGCCATGGTTACGGATTTGGACAAGTAGATAGCTAGGGAAGCTAGGTTTGGACCAACGGATGATGACGAGGTGGGTGGTGGCGATGGAGAAGCCCATTTCGATAGGAGCTGAAGCTCTTTACACAAATGGGTTCTGATAGCCGTTTTGATGAAGGGTGTGTTGGCGAGTAACATGATTAGGTTATCCGATAGATCAATTTTCCCAAGTTGAAGTTCTCCAGCAGGGAGAAAAAGCAGAAGTAGGAATCTCCGGATTCCCAACACCGAGCTCCATGGATGTGAGAGAAGGAATCGATTGATTTTGAAGGGAGAGGGGGGCATGGGAGGAAATCAGAAGTCGTAACCCTAAAATGGCTACCAGAAGGGTGTTTGAAGGGTAGAGTCAGAGAGCGGGATAGAGAGCGGCAAGGGAGTCCAGCTCTGTAGAGAGAGGTGGAAGTGTCGGAGGAGAGGCGAGGGAGCGTTGGCGGCGCCGGAGGTAAAGGGGAAGGAGGATGGATTTGGGTTTCGGGGAAGAAGGCTGTTTGGGAAATCGTTTTTCTCAGATTGAGGTGGGAGGGGAGGAAATAAATTGGGGTTTGATTTTTTTTTTTCGATTATTTTTATTAGAAAAAATGAATTGAGAAATTCAAAAAATATAATTTTTTATTCCATGCTTGCTGACGTGGCAAGTGAGGGTTTTGCTATTTTGTACTATTGTGTTATAGTGGGCAATTATCCATGAATGAATCTTATTAAACACAGCTTTTTACCCGCCCGTTGGGTGGTGCATTCGTATTGTTGTTTTATTTTTTGTTCTATTGTATTTTGTGATTTATGTATGTTAAACTATTATACATTGAATTGTTAATTCACTTACTTGATTTTAGGTATTGTTACACTTTTATATCTTTTGTTTATTTATAAAAACTTGATTTTATTAAATGAGCTCTCAGTAGACCTTTATTTATTTATAAGTTGGTATCGAACCCACAATTTAGGATATAAACATAAGAGATTATCAATGTTTTAGCACACAATAGTGACAAAGAAGTTTAAAAAATGAAGTAAGCAAATATGTTTCAATTAATAAAAAAAAAGCAAAGAGCTTTTCATTTCTTCTCCCTTCTCGTATGTTGGTATGATAATACATAATATTGCGCTCTAAATCTCACGAACATCGTGCACTATCAATTACTTGTGCAATTTTAGAACAATGAGAAAACGCATTAGAATCCACATCATCAATCTTCTGCTTATTCATTTAATTTATCTTTAACATGTTCTATCAAAACTAACCAAAAATAGAACTATTAGTTGTCACTAATTTATTAAAACAATATTTTTCAGCAAACTAAATTGCATATAAACACAGTTTATATTTGTAGAAAGCTACATACCCCTTTAAAAAAAATAATGGTGTATTTTTTGTACCTAATAACAACATACACGAATTGTAAAAACAGCATACTTCAATAAACCTCAACTCATTGTATCTTGTAAAATCTTCAGTCATGAACATGGTTGATGCATCAATCCAAATAGTTGTTGTCAAGAAAACGATCAAGCCAAAATCAAGTTTTAGTTAGGGATTCAATTAGGCAAAAATTCATGCTAAAGAAACAAACAAATGTCATTGCAAACGTGTAGAAATTGAAAGAACGTTGACATAGACAACTTAGAGACTACCACCACCATTTTCTTTCTTCTTCGCACCTTTATAAAACCTCACATGTGTTCCCTTCTACTTATAACCCCCTGGCCCCCTTCTATGTTTTACTTACTAACCAGATCATAATCATATAGCTAGTAGGATGTCACTCATGAACATAATAAACAACTCTAACAACTCTGCTTTCCATTTTATCATCCACAAAATTGTGATGAAATAGGCAAGTAAAATGATCAATTATTCAACCAAAGGAGAGATACTCTAAGTCCAAGCAATAAACCGTTCCAATGGTCTATTACATGTTTACATAAATGTATACAACATAGAGAACCATAAACAACTACCTGAAAAACGAAGATAAATACATTCGTTGATTTGAGCAGGAAAATTTACGATCCAACCATTGTAATATGGAAGAAGTTAAGAAACGAATGGAAATAAGAGTTTAATATGGCTAGTCAACCACAATTAACCACATATTTATAGGAAAAAGAGACCAGTTGTCAGCTACAAATCAATGGTAAAGAGGGAGCAATGAGATTTCATCGACTTCATTCAATTCGTCTTCATAATGATAGGGTGAACTTTTTTAGTCAATAGTCAAATATATGTTACAGTTGCTCAATTGTTTCCCATCTAATCATTGTCTTATGTAAATCCACCCTCGTATTTTCTTACAAAGAGTAAAAACTCAATATGCCCTTACTATTTCCTTTCCTGTATCTGTTTGAAAAAGCAGAGAAAATAAATGCTAGAAATCTCATTTTGAGGAAATAAGAAGAGACGCTTGTTTATTTTTATGGGGTTTGATCCAATTTTTTCATTCTATTATTTTCAATATTGCACTTTATTTTTATAGAGAGAATTTGTATGAGAAAAGGGATATGAACATACCAAAATGTTGCATTCCGTGTTATTAACTTAATTGATGTTTTATTTATAATGATGATAATTTAAAGAGTAAACAAAAAAGTATATAAGCAAGAATTAGAACTTGTCCACTGTGGAAGGGTGAGAGCTAGCCATTCGTTGATGTGGCACTAATTTAGTTTTAAATTCCTATAATATTAAGTAATGATGGTTTATAATTTTTTGAATTTTTTTATAAACTATAAGAATTAATACAATGACATTTCACATACATTTGAATACTCAGATTTACTGTAGACAAATTTATTGTAAATACAAATTGCTTACTGTTACAAAATAAAAAATTCATATTTGATACTTTGATATTGAAAAGTTTTTATTATTGCAAAAGTTGGCATAGAGCCATAGACTCGCACCATATAACCAAATGACTTATTATAATTGCCTTATTAAGCTCATTCTTATTAGAGATTCTTTATTTTAACCCAATACCTTGATTTAGATTCTTGTAACTATATTTTTTATTTAGATATCTCAACTAACACACTGATATTTATTTATTGTCTCAATACTCAAATTTTGATTTGTCTAAAAGACATTCAACTATTAATAAAAATTTTCCAATCCTTATTTGATCAATGCCTAGGTTAGTGATTGATGAAATGTGATATTTATCGTATATTCTCAACAAAGATTCCTTTAACATTCACACGTGTCATTTTTTAAGGTATATTGTGTCTCATCTTAAGTTATGAAGGCAAAGTTCGTCAACTCTTATACTTAAGCCATTTTGAAAACTTTGATGTATAATCCTAGGCAATAACTCTAAATCTGAAAAGAAAATTTATTAGCGTACTATTTATGACCTCAACTGAGCTTGCGCAACCAAAATCATCTAAATCAAATATTTTAATGTGAACTTAAACCAAATTATAAAATATTGCACATGTGATTATTTTTCATTTGAGAAATTTCAGGTAGAACATGAATATATGTTTTCACTTCATCAGGATGAATAAAAATGTTTTTAAGAAAATTATTATTATTTCTTGATCAAGTTATATTCTGACAATTATTTTATTATATGAAATAATTATTTATATAACAATTATTTTAATTGGTAGACATATATATTATAAAGAAGAGAAGGTTTAATATATAAATTCATATATTTTATTTCTCAAATTTGATTGATTGTCAAATTCTTAATTTGTTTCTTTGTGTCATTATAATTTATTTTATAGACAAATATATTATTATTTATGTGTGTACTTATTTAAAATTTTCATCAAAATGTAACTTATTATTAAGTTTTGGTTAAAATGAGTAGATAATTTACTTGATAAGATTTAATCATATATTTTTTGTTTAAACAAACCCAATATATGTGATTCTTTGTTTTCATCTTTATATTTTGTTTAATTGACAAAAATTATTATTATTTATGCTTGTTTTTTTTATTTACATTTCAATGTAACTTATTATTAATGTTGAGTAAAAGTGAGCATAAATACTAAAAGATGAGAGATAGTTTAATAAATAGATCAATAATAAATTTTTTTGTTAGTAAAAAAAAGTCCACCTAGACAACTTGTTATTTCTCCAAGTGCTTATGTGGCAAGACGTTAATTTTGAATTGTCATAATATTTAGTATAGATAGATAGATATAGATAGATAAAAGGATGTTACTGTTCCGTAAGGGTTTTGTTTCCACTTCCCTTTGGGTCACCCGCACCTTGGTTGTTTGTGGCCACGTTTCATGCGACGTACGTGTCACTCTACCTCCGCTCTCTCAGTGTCTGTTTCTTTTTCTTATTTTGCTTTATGCCGAATAAAATTTCATCCGTCCTCTGCTAACTCTTAATTTGGATTCATCCTGCAGTTGGTCGCTCTCTAGCTTTTTTCGGCGTTAGATACATAGAGATAATGGTGATTTCAGAGCTAGAAAAAAGCTAAAACCCTCCATCCCTTCTAAACCCCTTGCATGTTAATTCCTCTTAGATACAGCTCCGTTGCGATATAGAAGTCTACAGTAGTTAAGAGACATCGACGAGAGAATCAAACCCCCACCAGGGGATTAAGAAGTAGTTGAATTGCGCTTCGATAGCTTAATGAATGAGCGCTTTGAAAGGGGCAAAGTTTGGTGGAATATGAGCCATAACAGATTTTATTTCTTTTGGGGTTTTCTCTCGATTTTAACACCTCCGCTCATCGACTTCCCTTCTTATATGAGCCATAACAGATTGGAGATGAACTCGTTTTTCCCTCTAGAACAACTTGCTCTGTTTTTGAACCACATCTCATTCCCATACTACGTATAATTAATCAACACAAGGGATTGATTTGAAATCAAGATGTATTCTTTCACAATAATTTCCGAAATTAGGAACGCCCTTGAGATTTCCGATGTTAGATTGAACTATAATAAAACTGACTCCTAATTTCCTCAAAAGAAGCAGTTGTGATGCAATGAATTAGAAATCGAAGAGCTGAGGAGACGAAAATGATCAGTCAAAATATATTATTCATGAGCTTGAGTATCATGTTCTTTGCAAATAGAAAACCTGAAAATATCACTCCCACTTGTGGCGCCATTACTGGAGAATTAAAGGAAAAAAAGTAAATGGCTTGACGTGTGTTTGGAAATAAACTAGTAAGTCGCATCGCTTATTATTGTAGTGCGGTTTCGGTCGGTGTGAAATGATTGAATCGATTACCTAACTACTCCTTTATCACTCTTTTCAGCTCGTTTTCATATAATTTTTTGGTGTGATTGTTCGGTTCAAATAATCCCTATAT